GAGACGCGGGGCACGTTTCAATCTGCTTGCCATTCTGCACGTGACCTTCCAATTTGTTGCTATCGCGTTCATTTTTTCGCCCTTGCGGCAAAGCTGTTACTTCATTTTCTCCCGCAGAAACATGATTGTGGGCTGAAATGAAAGCTTAGTTTTCGAACTACTTAGACTTTTGAGAAATTTAAGGTTTCTGTCTAGTCTGTCTAGATGGCCCCATTTTTTGTCCCGAAAAAAAAATGTGATTTTGGTAGCTTCCATAGGGTCCCACCGTCGAAAGTTTTTTCGTCGTGGGAACAGAATCGGAAGTCCCGATGTTAACGATACTGCATTTGTGAAGTACAGTACAGGTCCTAGTACTTGTCCTTTTAAGAAGTTTTGAAATTTCGGCCTCTTCAATTTTTTATTGTCGAAAAAATGACCCCATCCCACTGAAAACGTGAGAGCTTCCAGCCTTTGCTGCTAGGAGCGCTGATCAGTCGGTGCAGGACGCTCCATCTGAAAAGTGACAGCACGTAATAATCGCCTGGGACTCGAATTGAAATCGATGTGCAAAAGCAATCAAAGAGAGGGTAAGAGGTGACAAGAGGGTTGCAGTAGGGACGTTCCCAGGACGCAAGCAGGAAGCAGTCATCAGGCAAGCGAGCGCGAAACTCAAAACTACAGCTGATGGACGAACCCTCGTGATAACTGCAGGCAGTTTAAACGATGTCTTAAATAAAAATATGGCAGGACTTGTGCCTACACTGGCGAAAGGGGTCGACGGCATGTGCGCCAGTTCTCCCCAGGTACAGGTAGTAATATGCACGATACCTGAGGTACCAGTGCATCACAACACCTGCAAAGAGCGGTTGTCAACGCAAACCTAGAGATATGGTGGATGAGTTGAGAGAAAGGCTTTGTGGTGGTGGAAATAAACAGAGAGGTGCATAGGGATGGGGGGGGGGGGGGGGTCAAGGAGACAGAATTCACTTCGATGGGAGGCTAGGTCATGAGGTGGGTTGGCGACTTGCCGGACGCGCAGTAGCTTTTTTTGGGGGGACAAGCGGGCCCTTCGGGGTCCAGGATAGCTAGTAACGAGAAAAAAAAAAAAACAAGGGGGACTCTTTGACACGTGGTATAGACAGATATGATTCCAAAGTGGTACATATATCGAAGACACGTACAGTCCGGGGCAGAAATCGACGTAGCCACGAGAGCCGAGCCAATTCAGACGTAGGGTATAATAATATGCAGGGTGGCAGGAATAGGCTGAACTGGGAAGAGATAGACGAACAGCTAAGGGAAGAGAGGCTGATGGTATATGGTTTTGTAGAAACACATCTTAGGGACATGGAACAACCACCTAACGATCCGGACCACGCATGAGAATATTGTAATGGAACAGAAAGCAGCAGAAAGGGGGGTGGTATTGGGGCATTCATTCATAAAAGAACAGACTGGCAAAGGGTCGAGAAGGAGTGCCAGGAACATCTATGGCTAAAAGGCAAACTGGCCGGGCAAATGACCCTCCTGGGTTTCGTATACTTGTAGGCAGAAGAAAAAGCCAGAGAGGAACTCCAACAAATGGGGAAGTGCATAGAAAACGACATTGACGAACTAGGAGAAGAGTGCGAGGTAAATATATTAGGAGATATGAATGCGCACATAGAAGATATGGATGAATATACTTACCCGACAGGCAGAATGCTAATAGATATGTGTGATAGGCATGATTTAATCATTCGTAACAGCACCGAGAAATACGAAGGGCAGATAACATGGGAGGTGGGAAGGCTGGAGTCGATGATAGATTACGCATATTGTCACATAAGATGTATGATCGGCTAAGTGTGATGAACATAGATGAATATGGGTCCACAAGCTTAGGTAGTGATCACAAACGCATCAAGCTGAGTTTTGGAAGAGAAATGAAATGAGAAAGGTGATATTATGAGCAACCACATGGTAATATTTATTCAGAAAGGCAAATAGAAGTAGTAAATAATGAGATTGAGAAAATAATCACCAGGATACCAAAACAGAGTGCTCGTACACAAATCTAACTTGACTGTTTGAGTTAGAGCTTGCTAATGTACGAGTCAAATCAACCTGGAAAAGCAGACACACACCCAAGAGCTGGTGGGATGACGAAGATAAGAGAGCCACAGAAAGACGTCAGGAAGCCTCCAGGGAACACAGGTATGCTAAACAGAGGGGTGAACTGGAATATGATGTCAAAAAGAAAACGGAATAACTTTTTGAGCTACAGAAGGGAAGCGTCCGATTTGATCAGTGACAAGATTAGAAGAAAGAGGGCCCAACTGATGACGGAAGTAAAAAAAGAGGATAGAAAGGCAACTACAAAATTTTGGTACCATCTCAATTCTCTGAGTAATAAGACAAGCATGAAACAGAGGTTTATAACTACAGTTCAAGGGGTCAGACTAGAAGAGAATGAGGCAATGGAATATATAAAAACAATGATGACAGAAAAATATAAACACCAAGAAAACGCTGCATGCACTGTACCAAATGAGGATGGACCAACTAGCCCAGTAGCTCCACTGGGACAACGAGAGTGGGAAAGGGAAGAGAAAAGGGTTCCTAATAGCGCATAAACAGGCCCTGACGGCATCCCAATCATGCTAATAAGGAAACTAGGACCAAACTCTAAGCAAACACCAAGAGAGGCAGCGAGAAAAGCAATACTGGATGGTGAAGCCCCCGATGGGTGGCAACAAAGCAGGATGAGCATGATCTAGAAAGGAAAGAGGGACAAAGCTGATATAAAGAACTACCGTCCTATAACAGTGACATCAGTTGTTTACAGGTTGGTGATTCAAATAGCAAAGGAAAGACTACAGACATGGGTGGAGAATGAGAGCTTTCTCGGAGAACTACAAAATGTGTTCGGTAAACGAAGGAGATTGGAGGACAATCTGTTTTCATTGATGCAGTGCACTGAAATAGCCGAAAAAGAATACAGGCCCCTGTGGCTGGTATTTCTAGATATCGAGGGAGCTTACGATAGTGTAATTCAAGAAGACTTGTGTGAAATACTGGACACACTAGATGTGGAAGATGGAGTCACTAATCTTTTAAAGGATATCTATAGAAGTAACAAGGTGGTTATAAATGAGAAGAACAGGTATCTGAACCAATAGAGATACAACGCGGGCTTCAACAGGGATGTCCCTTGTCACCTTTGTTATTTATGCTGTATCTCCAGAGACTAGCAGCCAAATTAGAGAGGTGTCGACTCCGCTGCAGCCTTTCTTTTGCCAGGCAAAGAAAACACATTGAACAGACATTAGAAGGATGGATGTATGCAGATGATATAGTATTAATAGCCGACAACAAGGAAGATCTACAGGAATTGTTAGACATCTATGGTAATGAGGGAGATGGGTTAAATTTTAAGTTGAGCAGGGAAAGATCGGCAATGATGATTTTTAATAATAACAAAGGCAGTGAGCAACAGATACAGGAAGTCACGCTAGAATTAGTGGATAAATACAATTATTTAGGCGTATGGATAAATAACGGGATTAGTATTTGAGGGAGCACAAAAAATACGTAATGACTAAGGGCACCAGGAATGCAGCTGTAATGAAAAATACGGCACTGTGGAACTACAAAAGATATGACGTTGTGAGAGGGATTTGAAAAAAAAATGTCATGGTCCTGGGTTAGGAGTTCGGCAACGCGGTCTTGTGCATGAAATCAAAAGTTCAAGCAAGATTGGAAACTAAACAACGTGGCATAGGTAGACTAGCTTTGGGAGCACACGGGAATACCCCAAATTAGGGGGTACAGGGTGACATGGGATGGACATCATTTGAGTACAGGCAAGATAGCAGCAAGGCGGAATTAGAGGAGCGCTTGAGAAAAATGTGAGAAGAGCATTGAGTACATGAAGAATGTTGATACTGAATGGAGGAAGCGAACTCGAAAACTGCCGAGCAAGTATTTAGACAACAGCAGAACACCAAGCCACAAGGAAACATCGGTTACGAAGAAGGTGAAGGAAACAGAGAGGGACACGTGGAAGATGGCAATGCTTTCGAAATCATCACTGGAGAGCTACTGAACTTTTAAGCAGGAAATAAAATATCTACGATAATTCTCGGGCTAGTTCTCTGCTCTTCGAGGCTAGAACGGGAGTATTGTAGACCAAGACATAGCAAGCAAACTACGAAGGCACAGACACGGTATGTAGTGCGTGTGGAGAGAAGGAGGAAACGGCTGAACACTTGGTAATGTTCTGTAAAGGGCTCCGCCCTATAGTCGAAGATAATGACACCGAATTTTTCAAAGCATTCGGGTTGAGGGACAGTGAAGGCAAAATAGACTTTAAACAAAATAACCAGGAGGAGGCTAACTGATTCGTGGCTACAATCGGGGCACGAGTGAAATTCAATCTTTAAACACACAGTGATAGTACTTTATGGCTAAGTGGTGTAAGCCACCACCCGATCTAAAGGGCACAACCACATCCATCCATCCCTAGCGGATTAATGTGCTATATTGATAGTACATATATTTATGGATAGGTGGCGTGAGCCGCCGCCCAATCTAAAGGGCACAGCCGGGAACATACATACATACATACATACATACATCCATCCATCCATCCATCCATCCATCCATCCATCCATCCATCCATCCATCCATCCATCCATCCATCCATCCATCCATGCATCCATCCATCCATCCATCCATCCATCCATCCGTGCGTCCGTCCATCCATCCATCCATCCATCCATCCATCCATCCATCCATCCATCCATCCATCCATCCATCCATCCATCCATTCATCCGTCCGTCCGTCCGTCATAGAGTTTCTCACAAAACTCTCTTCCTGAAAGATGGATATGCGATTGTCCCCGACCAGAAGGGCATCCGTCAAAGCGCTGGATGCAACCACACAACAGTTCATAACGCTTACTATATGGCAACGTGGGAAGTTATTCACCAGTGCACAGTACACCGAGAGGGACTGCGAAGAAAGCAAGGGCAACCACACCAATTACACGCACTTTTGTTTGGCTCAGAAAAAACAAACATAATAAAAGTAGAGCAATCAATGGATGCATGTACTTGAAGATGTGCCCATCGCAATTACAAGCGACGTGTGTCAGTGTGAAGAAGACACAGTAAACAGCTACTGTTTTTCTTGGTACGACTTCCAGCGCCTTCCTCTCCGGGAATTCCAAGAGGCAAGGATCGTCAGATATGCGGCACCAGTGTAGAAAGCAACGCGCGTTTTGCTGGAGTTTGTCAATTTTCAGCACTAAAAGCCTGTGGTACTGTTTATGGTAGTGTCAGTACGAAATGAAGGAATGTTGAACTGGCTATGCGCCACAGTAAATGGCTATGCTATTTCCACAAGTCGTAAGAAGTGAGCGGCGGGCGTTTAGGCACTTCGCACGCCAGTGATGGCGGGGTCTCGAGGCGAGCGGCGGGCTTGGATCCGGTGACCCAATCGGCCACTCGGGACACAGCGAGTAGCGTGATGCCGGACAAGAGCATAGTGACCGTCTTGAAAGGGAACAGCTGCCGGCTTCCGTCGTAGAGAGGGTAGTGCATGATGGCCGGGATGCCTAGCACAGGCTCTCCGCCCAGCACACGCAGCACCAGGCCCAGGGAGAAGGCGGTCACCGATCCAACCACGTTACACCACCGCCGGCCCAAGAACACGGCGGCGAGAAGTTGGGGCAGCAGAACCACGTACACCAGGTCAGCACTCAGCGCCCACAGGTCATACACCGATCGTACCACGATGGCCATGACGGCCGATGCGGCGGCCACGGCGACCACGCACAGCCGCAGGACCCACACCACCTCGGTGTCCGAGGCCTGCCCGAAAAGATTACACGCAGCTCAGTCAGGCGAGTTGTCAAAAGCTAAGAGCATGCTCTGTCACGGATATGTCACGAAGAGTATTTAGTGGTGCCATATAGCGCTGGAGTGGGGCGAGCAGTTATTTATGTGAACTGTAGTGTTATATGAAGGGACTATACTTCGCGTTATTTTTCGTTACGTGAATGAACTGATACAAAATCTCCATAGCTTTTCTTTATGATTTCTTTTTTTGGCTGGCAAGTTTTTCCCATATCCAATCACCAGGGGCAGCCCCAGGATTTTCTACTCTGTATTGTTTTGACTATTCTCGCTCTTGAGAGGGCAAAGGGATGGGAGGTAGCAGGCGGAAACAATGGGGGACCGCCAATCATCCCATACCACCCACTGGCGCCACCCCTGCCTAACATTTGTTAAAAGAAGTAGCCAGTGCTATCCAAAAGCGCCAAGATCTCCTAAATAATATACATAGGAAAAACAAAAAAAGGACACTGTCCTTCTCGGAAGGTGCTGGTCTGTGTCTGCTTTTCGGTCCTCTTCACCCCAGTCCTACGATTCCAATCATTCCTTCTAAAAACTAGCCCAAGTAATCCGTACTCTGCGTATCGGTCCGTGCATAAAGTACGTTAGTTGCCCTGCGCCGATTCGCTAGAGTACATAAAGTATATAAAACTAACCTAGTCTGCTATTTTCGGGATAACGTAGCCTGTGCCAACTGGCACATTTTGTAGTCGTTGAACTTGATGAGTCTAAGCGGTGGTGATTGCTTGCGGGCGTGCTGTTTTAGTTGTGAGCATTCGTTGTGGCTGACTTCTCTTCAGTAGGAGTAATTATGAGGTGAAGCTCGCTACAGCGACAGTGCTTTCCTCGGCATTTCTGATGCCCCGCCGTGGTGGTCTAGTGGCTAAGGTACTCGGCTGCTGACCCGCAGGGCGCGGGTTCGAATGCCGGCTGCGGCGGCTGCATTTCCGATGGAGGCGGAAATGTTGTAGGCCTGTGTGCTCAGATTTGGGTGCACGTTAAAGAACCCCAGGTGGTCGAAATTTCCGGAGCCCTCCACTACAGCGTCTCTCATAATCATATGGTGGTTTTGGGATGTTGAACTCCACATATCATCATCATTATCGGCATTTTTGATTATAGCTTCTGTCGACATATGACATTTGAAGCCACGAAAAAAAAAACATTTCGCGCATAACAGTTGATTTCTTGAAAACAACCTGGAAGAAGCTTGAGAATCGCCTTCAAGAATAGAACACTATCGCGTAGTCGAGCCCCATTCACATCACCTTCTCAAATCTAGCCATGCTTCCCTTCTCTTTAGAGACCCCTACCGTGTCGCAAGGAAAAGAAGCCTCGTGCGCGCAACATTAGACGTTTCAAGCAATTCAAGAATGCCTACCATGCACTTGTACAGTTGCGAAGAGCATACTGCGCCACAATTCTTTTTTTTTGCAAACTGGCTAAGTGGCCGCACAGTACCCACCTCATGTTCGTTAGGCAACATGAACACTTTGTTGATGGTGTTGGTGATAGTTGTGATTATTAATGCATGAGTGCTTGTAATGAGTGATCAGCTAAAACACGAACTCGCAGCACAATTTACATGTTCCGACGTCTGTCCCGATTCTCCACTTCTTCCACGCACACTTTAAAGACTCCTCACCCTAGACGTCATTAGTATATGGTTATTTTTTTTTTTGAAACAGTCTCCAAGGACTAGCGTTGGTCTGTGATAGAACGCCTGCTTGCCAAGAAGAAGGTGTGAGTTTGTTTCCAACTCAAACGAAAGACTTTTATTATTTATTTATTTATTTGCTCCTATATGAAGTTTTCGCTTACTGACAAGGCTTATTTTGTGCTCACAACTGCTGATGCCGAAACAAGAATTTCTGCGAAACAAGCTCTTCAATGATGTCGCGTTAAAACCATACAGTGTTTAAGATGTTAGCCTTACGTGTGCTGCTTCTCTCAAATCAATCATGATATGAAGCGGATCGTTGAAATTTGCTCATCCGTATTCACACAGTTACTAATTCATCCCCGTGACAAGTATATGTTCTAAAGTTACACAGCATATATAAAAACAAACATATATGTTGAAACGTCAGGGGCTCTCTGCCAATTGCTATATTTTGTCAATCAGAATGGCTTGCAGAAAAACTGTTCATACGACGTGAGCTCACACTATTTCACTCTTTCATGGTATTATTCTGACGACTTGGAAATTCCCCTTGACATTCCTTTTTTCTAACTTCGAGGTGGCCTTCGATAAGGGCTCTCACAGCCACACTTAATACTTAAGTTGTCATGCCTGTATCAATGCTCTAGGAGTCTTGAATGGGTTCGGCGGTTTGATAGAGTGCAGCCTCGCAATATCCGCCGTCTTGCCGACGATCATGTTTTGTAGCAAGATGGAGTTACCCAACTCCATATTAACACTGTTTGATATGGTCTTTCTAAGGTAAAGGCATGATGTAATAGATGAATGGCAGTTTTTCAATGTCGACAAAACCGCTGTGAGCCGTTGAACAAGCCCCTTAATCATGTTACGTATAACAAATTCAGCAGATCCCACGTATACCTTGGGAATTGAGGTTATGCAAAGCATGCGGAAAGAAGATGACCGTGTTGTAAGTTTTTTTTAATTGAGGGACACGTCATGAAATGGTGCTAAATATTTTTACAAATAATGCGCGCATAAAATATGTTGAATAGTTGCAGATGCTTACATAACCAGTTGTTTGCACTTACGCAACGATGTTAATAGGCGCATGAGTATTAGCAACACCAGAAGCAATAAATTGATATGAAGCGCTAGTGCTCGCCAAGAAGAATGCTCTGGACACTGCTATATAAATCAATTACAGCGAATGTTTCCTAACTACCATTGACGTTAGCCCGATGTGACGGCTGTATGATAGCAGTAAATACGATATGTCTTAAAATGAGATAGCCCAGCAATGCAACCACAGTTAACGTTTCACAAACATTACGGTCTATTCGAGAGGTACTTCCGAACCTGGCGTGGCTGGCGATGTCCAATTTTTCCGAACGTTGAAATTACCCATGTGCGTTCTTGCTGTTCCTGGGTAAATGCTAAGCTTAAATCATCGCTGTCACATACCCGCATACCAGTGGCACATACCCGCCTGCGGGCATTTTTACTGCTTAACTGGAAGTGTTTGACGACGTACGCGACGGGATTATGACACTATTCAAGCGTTCACTAGCGCGTCATATTAGCCAAACTGTCTTACCTTCCCATACTAATTTTGATTGACGCCAATTCAAGCGGGGTGATCACGAGAGCACCAAGTCGTAAGTCGATACATAGATAGATAGATAGATAGATAGATAGATAGATAGATAGATAGATAGATATATGCCAAGAGTGTTTGCAGTATGCAAAGAAATGCTTCGTATTTGATAACGTTCTGATCGTCCTCTAAATGTCCTGCCCCTCCCCAAATAATGTCTACTCTCGATGTAACAAATACAACAAAATAAATAAATAAATAAATAGATAAATAAATAAGGAACATTTCCAAAAAGGAGGGCATCAAGATTACGGCTGGTTTAAAAAAAATGATATATTAATGTCTCAGATTGGACGTACAGAAACCATGATATGATTAGGGGGGATGCCTTAGTGGAGGGCTGCGGAAATTTTGACTGCCTGGTGTTCTTTCACTTGCACTGACAAGGCACATTTCACGACCTCTAGAACTTCGCCTCCATCGAAATGCCACCGCCACGGCTGTGGTTGAACCGAACCCGCGACCTTCGGGTCAAGAGCCGAGCACCGTAACCGCCACACCACCGCAGCGGGCTTGAAGATTAAAAACAAAAAGGGGTGGAAGAAAAGAAGGAAAACGATTGTCAAAGTAGCTTATTACAAAAGTGAACAAAAATAAACAAAACAACGTCGGACCAGCAAAACAAACGCTAGTGCATGCACTACTGTGACCTTAGGCAAATCTTTTACGTGTTTCACGTGTATGCTTGTATCCCACACATGAAAGTGCATTCTGATCATGTTCACAACGTGCATGTACTTAAGTGGAAAAATAAGAGAAATGCGTGGGGCGCAAGTAGAGTGACAGAGCGCTGATTTGATTCCGGAGTTAGTGCTTGAGCTGGAGTATAGCACTAAGTAAGTCCCACCACAATACGTCAGAGCCAATCGACCAAACGTCAAGGCTTCACAGAATGCGCACGATTGTGAGCAAAACATGCCTGTGGCCTAATTAGAGGTACGTATATATTCCTGGCAGCAATGGAACCGCAGCTGAGCAGGCACGAGTCGGCAGAAGACATGATGGCTGCCGCCACCACACCCAGTCCCAAACACGAGACCGCAGTTGGGGTGAGGTACTGCAGCGCCAGGGACAGCATCATGGGCGCGTGTTCGTCGTCAGTCGGATCTTCACCGCTTGGGAACGTCGTCTCGTTCCACCCTGTACAGAACAGCGCACAAGAAATGCAAATCAGGCCTCGTTCATAGTGTCTGCGTGAAAGCGCGGTGACGACAGATTGTTCCTGTAGCAGGAAATAAAACTGAAGAAGTCGCCTGTTGACCACCAAATTAATAAAGCATAGCCTCGAAAAACAAAAAAAGTTACCTGCGATGTTTTAGGTGCACATTGTTTCGCACACAAACACACAAAAAACTGAAAGGGGCCCTGCAACACTTTTTGACCATGGTCAGAAAACGCTGCCAATCGGTAGTAGGGGCTCCCCAGAACACGCGAGCCAAATAATATAGCGCAGCATGCGGCCTGGAATTCACAATGAATTATCAAAGTCAGCTAAAAATTGCTTTCTTTTTTCTCGATAAACCACGCAATATGCCCAAAAAATCACACGTAGTAAGACCAGCTATCAGCCATTTGGCTGATTTGAGTATAGCGCGCTCACTCGTTACAGAGATCGCCACGGGAGGCCGTTAATTGTCCACGTGTGCGCGCGCGATCACACTGAAAAAGCCTCGTATTGGAAGAAAAAAAAAGTGCGCAAGGTCACGAGGAACGCGTGATGTTTTTCCGTGGCCTTGCCATCCCTCCTTCCATCCCTTTTGCCATCCCTTTTAACGCTTAGCTTTTAACGCTTTCGTCGGGACGACAGAAGAGAGAATGCGATTGCAGCATGAGATAAACCTTTGTAACTCCACTCGCACTAGACGGAATCTCAAATTTTTTGCAGCGTTTAACCTGTGAGGCAATAAGCTCTTTCAATGAAATCATTCCATGGTTACTAGAAAAAGTGTTTCAGGGACCCTTGAAGGTCTCACAACGTGCAAGGTTAATTTCTCAGCTCTTCGAAGCTTTCTACAGGCTTGACCAACATTTGTCTCTGCAAAGCACCAGTTGGCATAGGAAACCACGAGTAAACAGGTACTATCGCATGTAATGTAGGGGTGGTGTATGAAATATATCTGTAGTGTAATAGAAAATACGTGGGTCGAACAGAACAATGCTTGTAAGACAGGCTGCGCAAGCAGCTCGACAAAGTCATGAACATTAAACAAAACTTCTACTGGGCCTACATGAAAATTCGGCAGATTCCCCGTACCTTAGGAATCAATGTTATGCGAATAATGCGACTGCAAAGTAACTGTATCATAAGTTTCTATTTTTATAGCAATTATATGGACCTTCTCAACCGTTTTTTTGCCATCAGCGTCGCCGTTTGTCTTCACCGTCACGCCTCGTGTATGTACATGCCAACTGGCATCTCTCTTTAAGGAGTCAGGACTGTATGTGAACGCGAAAGTTTGCCAAGCTTTGTTGAAGCACAGGGGTGAGATTGTTGACTGAGGCAAGATAAATTGTTGGCGCAAGCTAATGCAGTTGCGTTGTATTTGTTGGCAGGTGCGCGTCCTTAGCGTAGATCTCGTATGCCTTGTCGTAATTGTCGCGCTTCTTGCCTGAACATTGAAAACCAATGCAGCCATATTTTCACCACAATATATTCACCAGTGACGAGGCCCGTCTTTTAATCAAAATATATTGTAACGATGTTGAAGGACTCGGGGTATAACAAAACGTATTTATTAAAGGGCGAACCTGTGCCCACAACTCAAAGGGACTATGGTCGTAGCACGTTACAGCAGAACGGCAAGATGTCTTCCTCTTCTACTTCTTCAAGAAGAGTCCCAAGCGCGTGGCACACATCAGCGGGGGCCAGCTGGGTTCTCGTGCTGTCATCATCGTCTCTGCGCAACACTAGACGGCGCCCATGTATGTCTCTGTGCGCGTGGTGATGAGCGCGTTATTTGAATGCAGTCACTATGTCGTGGCAATATGACCGGCTTGGGTCAACAGATGGACGCCATTGCACTGCATTAGTTCAGTTTATTAACTTCAATTTAAGCTCAGATGCCTAATAGGCTAACATGACAGCTCAAAAACGCACCAGCCGAGCGCATGCTGAAAGGGTTTTTGAGATGCTATCTTTCAGCTAGCAAATTGGGCGAGTTAGAATGTACTCGCAATGACCAGCTCGAACAAGACGGAGGATAGAAAAAAACACACAGACAGGCACTGCGTCGTGTAAACATTCTTATATTCTTGTGTTTTCTTCCCGTTTTTCGCTTGTGTCTTGTTCACGCAGGCTTTTACCAGTAGGCGCGCAAGTCCTTAATTTTTCAATATAATACCAGAGAACGTTAGCCTATAGACTGTTTTCCGCATCTAGTTTGTCTATGAAAAACTATATGGCACAACCGCACCGAAGCTTCATGGTCTTCTCCTCGGCGACGCGGTCACAATGTGGCGTGTGGCGGACGTTGCCCTGCCGCCTACAGTGAGAAACGGTGGTAGTAGTGATTTTGGAAGAAGGAAAAAAGCCTCTGATTTCTGTCAGCCATAAGAAGTCGACATGGAGCAGTGCCCAAAGAGAAAAAAAATCACTGCATATCCGCGAAGTGAATGATGACGAGTGGGCGAAGCTCCGGGGGATCATTAACCATGAATTTTCCCATACATTGCCGGCGCTTCCGTTTCACTGCTGCTGCGCGAGCCCTCGCCACATCAGGATGAGCTTGCCGACGTTTCCGTGCCGCTGCAGCTTCGCGAGCCCTCAGCTCCGGGTCGGCTTCCCGGCGCTGCCGTTTTGCTGCAGCTTCCCGAGTGCGCAAGTCTGGATCCGCTTGTCTGCGCTGCCGTGCTGCAGCCGCTCTGTGAGCCCGAAACTATGGACTGCGTTGGTGGGGGTGGTAGTGGTTGGAAGAGGAAAAAGGCACCTAATTTCTGCAGCCCGGTAGGGAGCACGGCGCAGTGCCTCGCCTTGCAGCACAGCCGCGCTGCGCACTCCATGACCGCCGCTGTCGAAAGACAGAGAGACGGCCGCGCTCCTAGTACAGTGTCTAGAAAAATGCTACCTAGTGTGCTGAGCGCGCGTTTTGTACGAGGGAGGGTGGTCCAACAAGTGATGACTGCGCTCAGTTGCCGCAAGCAGCGCTGCGAGTCGAGTGGGTGCTTGATTGTGCGGAGTTTTCTCGTCCATTTGCTGCCGGAGCCTCGCTACGAGTAAGATAAGTGTTTGACAGCTGTTATCTGTCGTATTGTGAAGTTCAATTTTGCCAGATGTGAGCAGCAACATACTGAGATGTTAAAGGCTAAGGGGCAATGCAAAGACAGGACATGTTTTGTACCTCTGTGTCGAAGCGGTTATCGGTCGAACGAGGAAAGGGTATCTTTGTTCACCGCACCGACGGACCCAGCACGGCTTGAAGAATGGGAAAGCAGGATCAAGAGGGCAGACAGAAGGCTGACGCCGAAGGCTGTCGTTAGCGAACGACATTTTGAGAGTGACTGCATCGAACAATCTTTTCAGATTACAGGGAACGATGTCGTGAATGAAATCGCCCGAGAGAAGCCGCGCCTGAAGTCCGATGCTGTCCCTACAGTGTTCGCAAATTACCCAACACATCTTGTACCTAAGAAGGTGGTGAAAAGGAAATTTCGAAACCTCTGTGATCAAGGACCGGCACCTAAAAAATGGAAGCGAAATGTCGAGTTTACGTTCTTCAAATCGTACTCAGCAGTGTGTGTGTGTGTGTGCGTGCGCGTGTGTGTGTGCGTGTGTGTGTGTGTATGCGTGTATGTGTATGCGTGTATGTGTGTGTGCGTGTGTGTGTGTGCGTGTGTGTGTGCGCGCACGTGTGTGTGTGCGCGTGTGTGTATGTGTGTGTGCGTGCGTGTGTGTGCGTGCGTGCGTGTGTGCGTGAGTGTGCGTGTGTGTGTGCGTGTGAGTGTGCGTGTGTGTGCGTGTGTGTGCGTGTGTGTGTGTCTGTGTGTGTGTGTGTTTTGTTGGCGGCAGCCAACGGTGAGGTGTTTGTTACCGACATTATCTGCATTTGATATTGCTAAATACGAGTACTGTGAAAGCAGTCGCGTAGGTATTATGCAATAAAGCGTTTTGTAAAGAACTCTCCGAAAATACGGAAAAATTGAAAGTTGGCCTCGCGCGACTCGGCCTACGCACAAAGTTGTTCTAAGAGAGAAAGGAAGAGAAAAGTGAGCCCCGTAACTGTCTGCTTCAGCGAGCGACACCTCAACAGTAGCTCACAAGGGATGGGGGTGAGGAGGGATTAAAAGGATAGGAATTAATGTGTGTAGAGAGAGAAAAGGCATGAGGAGGTAAGCCAGAGAGCGACGACATATCGAGGGGATAGGAGAGATAGGAAAGATGGAAACGCGGTCACAGGAGTCCGAGGACGGGGCACCACTTGCGAGAGCTCTTGTCGGCGTCAGGAGGTGGCGTAGAGCAAGTCCAGTCGGTCATAGCTACACTGTCGTCGGAGGTCGGTGTCAGGAGATGACGTAGGGCGAGCCCAGTCGGCCAGAGCTACGCGGACGTCGGAGATCGCGAGGGCACAACCGGTGGCACGCAATCCAGCGAGTGAGTCCTCGGCCTACTGAAAGCTTCGTAGCGCTTTCGGAGCGCGCGGATTGATTGCAGATGCACCCACTCGCGCCGCAGCGCGCCAAGTAGGCGCCAACGGCAGTCATCAGCGACGGAGCCATCTCCTCGCCTGCGTTCAGCACACTAGGTAGTATTTTTCAGGACACTGTACCCCTAGCAGTCTCCTTTCAAACCGAAGCATGCGTCAAGAGCAAGCGCTGGTATCGCCACACCCTCCACCGAGTGCTACATGACCGCCGCTCTCGAAAGAGAGAGAGAGAGAGAGAGCCGCGCCCCTAGCAGTCTCATTTCAAAGCGCAGCACGTACGTGCCAAGAGCGATGGATGGATGAATTGATGTGGCTGACCCTTTAGATCGGGCGGTGGCTAACGCCACCTAGCCGTAATACTTATTGAGCTAAAAACAAGATTTACCTTTTTTTTTTCCTTCAAATAGGAAAGTAGAGGACTGGTACTTTGCAGAGAAGAGTTTCATCTTCACTTGTGCCATGACTTTAGCCACCAATCAGATAACATCCTTCTAGTTAATT